CCCCAGCATAGACCGCCACAAGCAACACGACTTAAAAACCCTGACCACATACCAAGATATCCGCATCAGGTTGGAGGTGGAGGAGGAGAAAACAAGGCAGAAATCCAATCTTCCACTTCCCTCAGCACATGCCACAAGCGCTGAAGGTACTAGTTGTAGCATGCAGCTCGGGCAAGCTCAGCGGCAGCAATCCATCCACAAGCCTCTCTCCGTCGTGCGGAGACCATATTTACTGTCTTCTCGTGATCTTCTTGCAGGCTGTGTAGCCATGTGCGTGCACTAGGGGAGTAAAGCGCGGCTTGAGGAAACAGCAGTACCTGTGGTTCTCCCACTTTCGGCGGTCGGCAATGAAAATCACTCCCACGCAGCGGCGCTCGCGTACGCAGAGTTCCTTGCATTCACGGATGCCAAAGTTCCAGTGCCTTCGGTCTCAGCAGTCGACTTGTCGTATTGTGTCTCTTCGGTGATTTATGTTGTGGCATTCTAATTTTGGGTTGTGGGTACAAGGAGGAGGGGGGGGAGGGGAGGGCAATGTGGGATTATGGAGGACCCACATGCTCGGGGTATAGGTGGGTTGGAAAGGAGCTTAAAGACTGTGATGTAATTTAATTTTTGCTCTTATGTGTTATCTCAAATGTCATAAGAATTTATGGGTGACACTCTGCCAACGTTGTTTGATTGCCTTGTTTTTTTCTCAGGATCTTTTTGGGCCAAGTACGTTTATATCACCTTTTGGTTTCGAAAGGGCAAAAAAAACACGAATGGGCAACGAAAAAATGGCTGTAGTTCGAAAACGCAGAAATAAAAGCAAAAGGCAGTAACATCAGGGCCCGAGTTCGAAAAGGCAGAAATACCGCATTTTGCAACCTTTTTTTTTTTTTTTTTTTTTTTTGGTCGGTCGGTCGCCCGCCCGCTGCGCCGCGCCGCGGCTGGAAGGAGAAAGAAAAGTTTCATTTTTTTTTATTTTATTTTTTTCTTTTTCGGTCGGTCGGTTGCCCGCCCGCTGCGCCGCGCCGCGGCGGGGAGAAAAAAAAAAAAAAAAAACATGG